GGTGTTGTGATTTCGGCTCACTGCAAACTCTGCCTCCCAGATTCAAGCGATTCTCCTGCCTCAGCCTCTCTAGTAGTTGAGATTACAAGTGCCCACCCCTATGCCCAGCTAATTTTTGTATTTTTAGCAGAGACGGTGTTTCACCATGTTGGGCAGGCTGGTCTTGAACTCCTGACTTCAGGTGATCCACCTGCTTTAGCCTCCCAAAGTGCTGGGATTACAGGCGTGAGCCACTGCACCTGGCCTTAGAGTACATACTTCTTTGCTAGTTTGATACATTTTTCAGAATAGTGTTTTCACTCTCTTAAAAGGGTAGATGCTTATTCTGACCAGGGCAGCCTACAAATACAGCTCAGACTTTAAGATATTTCCATATTGCTCAGGAAACTAACAAAAGTGGAGTGTTGAGCAAATAAGTGACATTTCAAATCCTGACTCTGCACTAACTAGCTGTGGGATCGTAACACATTTCATCTCTTGTTAAATAGGGATAACACTTCTGTACTTTGGCTGTTAGGAGAATAATATCAGATACTGGTGGAGAAAGCACTAATACCACATTAGCTGTGGAAATAATTATAAATTATCAAAGGAATATTAATACAATATATACAGTCTTCCCTCTGTATCCATGGGGGATTGGTTCCAGGAACCCCAGGGATACCAATTTGGCTCACAGATACTCAAGTCTTTTATATAAAATGCCGTAGTATTTGCATATAACCAGTGTACAGTCATCCTTATACTTTAAATTATCTTAAAACAAAAATTAGTTGGGCATGGTGGCATGTGCCTGTAGTCTCAGTTTCTGGGGAGGCTGAAGTGGAGGATCACTTCAGCCAGAAGTTGAGTCTGTGGTGACAGAGCGAGACCCTGTCTCAAAAAAAAAAAAATTAAAATTAAAAATCGTCTCTAGACTACTTATAATAACTAATTGTATAAACTAATTGTATAATACCTAGCACATTGTATAATACCTAATACAGTGTACATGCTATGTAAAAAGTGGTTATAGGTTTTTGTTTTTGTTTTTTTTGAGACAGAGTTTCACTCTTGTCACCCAGGCTGGAGTGCAATGGCGCGATCTTGGCTCACTGCAACCTCCACCTCCCGGGTTCAAGCGATTCTCCTGCCTCAGCCTCCCTAGTAGCTGGAATTACAGGCATGTGCCACCACACGTGGCTGATTTTGTGTTTTTAGTAGAGATGGGGTTTCTCCATGTTAGTCAGGCTGGTCTCGAACTCCCGACCTCAGGTGATCCGCCCACCTCAGCCTCCCAAAGTGCTGGGATTACAGGCATGAGCCACTGCGCCTGGTCAAAGTGGTTATGGTTTTAAATTATTTGCGAGATAGGGTCTCACTCTGTCACCCAGGCTGGAGTGCAGTGGTACAATCATAGCTCACTGCAGCCTCAAACTCCTGGGCACAAGCAATCCTCCCACCTAAGCCTTCCCAGTAGCTAGGGCTACAGGCCTGTACTACCACATCCCACTAATTCTTAAATTTTCTGTAGAAACAGGATGCTGCTATATTGCCCAGGCTGGTCTTGAACTGTTGGTCTCAAGCGATCCTCCCATCTCAGCCTTGCAAAGTGTTGGGATTACAGGCAGGAGTTACCGCACCCAATATGTGTGTCTTATTTGTATTATTATTTTTGAGGCAGGGTCTTGATCTGTCACCCAGGCTGGAGTGCAGTGGCACAATCTCAGTTCACTGCAACCTCTGCCTCCCCAGTTCAAGCCATCCTCCCACCTCAGCCTCCCAAGTAGTAGGACTACAGGCACATGCCACCATGCCTGGTGAATTTTTTGTATTTTTTGTAGAGATAGGGTTTTGCCATGTTGCCCAGACTGGATTTGTATTATTTTTATTGTTGTTATTTTGTTTTTTTCCCCTCTGAATATTTCCATTTGTGGTTGGCTGAATCCGTGGATATGGAACCCACTGATAGAGGGCTGACTGTACATAAATACATAAAATATCAATACTATATATAATATTAATAGTTGTAGAGATAGGCATATATGGTTTATAAATTTAAGTCACATTCTTTTCTTCTATTCAACGAGAATTTAAAATTTTTATGTTACTTTGCTGGGGGCGGTGGCTCACTCCTGTAATCCCAGCAGTTTCAGAGGCCGAGGTGGGCAGATCACTTAAGGTCAGGAATTCCAGATCAGCCTGGCGGCCAACATGGTGAAACCTGGTCTCTACTAAAAATACAAAAACTAGCCGGCCGTGGTAGTGCTTGCCTGTAACCCCAGCTATTCGGGAGGCTGAGGCAGGAGAATTGCTTGAACCTGGAAGGCAGTGTGCAGTGAGTTGCAGTGAGCCAAGATAGTGCCACTGCACTCCAGCCTGGGCGACAGAGCAAGACCCCGTCTCAATCAATCAATAAATTAATAAATAAAAATTTGGGCCCAGCGTGGTGGCTCACGCCTGTAATCCCAGCACTTTGGGAGGCCAAGGCGGGTGGATCACCTGAGGTCAAGAGTTCAAGACCAGCCTAGCCAACGTGGTAAAACCCCGTCTCTACTAAAAAACACAAAAATTAGCCGGGCGTGGTGGTGGGTGGTAGATCTCAGCTACTTGGAAGCCTGAGACAGGAGAATGGCTTGAACTCGGGAGGGGGAGGTTGCGGTGAGCCGAGATCGCGCCATCGCACTCCAGCCTGGGCGACAGAGTGAGATTCCACCTCAAAAATAAATAAATAAATAAATAATATCAGTAACACAGATGGCTTCCTAGGAAATAAACTGGAAGAAATCTAGAACTTGAGGATAAGTGATCAGAAAAAGGAAAAATTAAAATGTAAATTTTAGAATAAAGATTAAAAAGTAAGAAACTGGAAGAACTCTAACTTTGTCTTTTGTGCTTTCGGGTAAATAGTTTGGTTACTGTTCTTCAGGTGTCCGCTTCCAGTAGCCGACCGATGACCGTCTTATAGAGCACTTCCGGCTTCATCTGCCACTCGCTCCTCCGTCTACCTAGCTGGGCTTTCCATTGCGCTAGCGGAAAGCCTACCCCGCCCCGGAACTTAACCGTTGACGAAATGAAAGGTTTAAATCCTCGGAACTTCGATCCTGGAGCGCCGATGGCGCCCGCAGTTCTCCAAGAAGACTTGGGATTGGTCGAGCGCAGAACCAGCGCGGGGCGCTGATTGGTTGGCACGCCAGTACGTAACGGCGACTGTGCGCGGCGCTCTAGCACCACCCCCGCTCCCTGACTGGCGGGGTTTCTGACCAGTCAGCAGGCGCGGCGCGGCCTTCGGTTTCGCGAGCCTGTGTTTGCCGCCTAGGTTCCCGCGACCCCAACGTCCCAGAGGCGGTACCGGAGTTGGTGGTGAGGCGGTGGTGCTTCCTGGAGCCGGCTCCTGCTTCTACCCTGCAAACAGACCTCAGCTCCGCGGAAGTTGCGGTAAGTGGAGCTTTGTGCTCCTGGTTCCCCCTTGAGGGGCGGCAGCGGGGCCCGGGGAAGGTTGGTGGGAACATTCAAAGCCTTGTAGTGGGTTCCGCCCTCCAGGAGCCTGGAGCCGATGACGAGAAGGGGAGCTAGTGGGAGAAATTAAGCATTCCTTGAAATCTTTGGGTATGATCTGAGCTAAGATATGCGAAAGAGGTTTGCAGTCGATAACGTGCCATTTAAAGTTGTTTTTACGGTGGGAATTTCTTGAGGCCTGAAACCTTGAATGCTCCCTCTTGCATTCCTCACAATTTCTGGCTTACACTCTGCTACGTAGTAAAGGGATCAGTTAATGTTTGAAGTTCGTGGACTACTGGAAGTAAAGTGTAAGCCGCAAAGTGCGAGAATGCTATGCGTGTGAATACAGAGACAGTATAGTACCATCACCAGGGTGTTTGGGAGAAGGTTTCACAGAGGAAGTGACATTCGAGTTGGATTGTGAGGGATGGCGGGGGTTTACCAGGGCATTCCAAGTTAAGGGGGGGCAGCCTGTGCAGATACTGAAACTGGGGCACTGCAAGTAGTTCAGTTTGACTGGAATGTAGGATGAGTGGATGGGGGTTAAAGTTGGAATAATAGAGTGGGGCTGGATTGTGAAGATCCTTTATTCTGTGTGTAAAGAAGAGCCATCGGCTTTTTTAAAAAAATTATTTTTATTTTTATTTTTGAGACGCAGTTTCACTCTTTGGCCCAGGCTGGAGTGAAGTGGCATGATCTTGGCTCACAGCAACCTCCGTCCCCCGGGTTCAAGCGATTCTCCTGCCTCAGCCTCCCTAGTAGCTGGGATTATGGGCACATGCCACCACGCTCAGCAGTTTTTTGTATTTTTACTAGAGACAGGGTTTCACCATATTGGCCGGGCTGGTCTCGAACTCCTGACTTCAGGTGATCCACCCACCTCGGCCTCCCAAAATGTTGAGATTACAGGCGTGAGCCACCGCGCCTGACATGAGCCATTGACTTTTAAAGCAGGAGAATAATTTGATCAGATTTATATGGAAATACCCTTCTAGCAGCACTGTGGGGACTTTTTCCATAAGTACCGTGAGAGTTGATGAAGTTAGCAACTGAGTTGGTGGGTATGGAAAGATTATTTGTATGGAAGAAGGGGTGAGGATGATTTGAAGGTTTCTATTGTATACGATGATGCCTTCACCTGAGAATATGTTTTGCTAGGTATAGATGTTGTGTGGTTTTAGTTTCATTAGCTTTAATTGCTTGTACAACACTGACAGTGAAACTACCTTATGTATATTGTTTTAAAATGAGAAATCAACATTATCCATCTTTTCACTCCAATGAATAAAGAAGACACAAATAGCACATTTTAAGATACTTCTGTTTAATGAAGAAAAAATTGGCACTTTTTATACTTTGTAGAGTTATAGTTATCCACGTGAATACTGTTATCCGTGACAACCAAGTACTAAGGAAGGGTTTTAGGATTTAAAGCCTGCATTCCATGGAAGCTGCATTAAACCTTTTAAGTCCAGATATTTCTAAGAAGGACTTTTTAGTCAACATTTTTTTTTTGAGACAGAGTCTCGCTCTGTCACCCAGGCTAGAGTTCAGTGGTGCAATCTCCATTCACTGCAAGCCCCGCCTCCTGGGTTCACGCCATTCTCCTGCCTCAGCCTCCCGAGTAGCTGGGACTACAGGTGACCGCCACCACGCCCCACTAATTTTTTGTATTTTTAATAGAGACGGGGTTTCACCATGTTAGCCTGGATGGTCTCAATCTCCTGACCTTGTGATCTGCCTGCTTCGGCCTCCCAAAGTGTTGGGATTACAGGCATGAGCCACCGTGCCTGGCCTAGTCAACTTTATTAAGAACACATTTTTCTCTGCCTTGAACAAGGTATAAGAACATTTTCAATAGGATTTTCAGCCTCTGACTTTATCTAAAAAGTCTCTTCTAAATAATCTCTGCACCTGGATTAATTATCCTTTTCTTCTTTATCTTGCTTCACACAGCGTGAGACAGAGACTCACTCTCTTGCCCAGGCTGGAGTGCAGTGGGACAATCTCGGCTCACTGCAACCTCTGCCTCCCAGGTTCAGACGATTCTCCTGTCCCAGCCTCCTGGCTAGCTGGGATTACAGGTGTGCACCACCATGCCCAGCTAATTTTTGTGTTTTTAGTAGAGAAGGGGTTTCACCATGTTGGCCAGGATAGTCTCAGACTCCTGACCTCAGGTGATCCACCTGCCTCAGCCTCCCAAAGGGCTGGAATTACAGGAATGAGCCACCACACCCGGCCTTAGACAGTTTCTTTTTCCTAGAATTGATACAGAATGTTCAGGACCTAAAGAACTCTAAGACTTGAAAGAATATAGGACATACTAAACTCTAAAGAAAGGACTATGAGGTCTTAGATGGATCTATCCAGTGGACAGTTAGAAATATGGATTTGAAACATCCAGGCATGGCGGCTTATGCCTATAATCCCAGCACTTTTCGAGGCTAAGGCGGATGGATTGCTTTAGTCCAAGAGTTCGAGACCAGCCTGGGCAACATGACAAAACCCTGTCTCTACAAAAAATACAAAAAAATTAGCCAGGTGCGGTAGTGAATGCCTGTGGTCCCAGCTATTCGGGAGGCTGAGGTGGGAGGATCACCTGAGCTCAGGTGGTGGAGGTTGCAGTGAGCTGAGATTGCATCACTGTACTACTTCAGCCTGGGCTACAGAGTGAGACCCTGTCTCAAAAGAAAAAAAAAAAAGAAAATGGATTTGAAACTCAGAAGAGAGGTGGAGCTAAAGATTTGCTATAGATAGGTGAGTGTAGAAGCAATAGGAGTGGAGGAGAGTACCCAGAGAGAGCATCTGGAGTTAAAAAAAAAGAATACTGGGCTGGGTGCAGTGGCTCATGCCTATAATCCCAGCACTTTGGGAGGCCGAGGTGGGCGGATCATGAGGTCAAATCGGGACCATCCCGACCAACATGGTGAAACCCCATCTCTACTAAAAATACAAAAATTAGCTGAGTGTGGTGGCATGCACCTGTAGTCCCAGCTACTCAGAAGGCTGAGGCAGGAGAATCACTTGAACTCAGGGGGCAGAGGTTGCAGTGAGCTGAGATTGCGCTGCTGCATTCCAGCCTAACGACAGAACGAGACTGCGTCTCAAAAAAAAAAGAAAAAAAGTACACTGATTTTTTAGTGACACAAGTCAGTTTGTGGGAATGCAGTACTTTTTTTTTTTTCCACTGAAGATTCTTTAATGACTTCATTGTAGGCCCAATAAATATCTAACCCAAATCATTCTTTTCTGCTGCTTCATGGTTTTATGAGGATTGTAAGGCTTTTGGTCAAAATCTCATACATTTAATACGACCTGCCCTATCAAGCTCACTAAGTTGATACCAAGGTTTTGGGGCAGAATCTGAGCTTTCCTTAAGGGATAGGTATATTGGTAGATTTTGCTGCCTAGAATAAATATTCACAGTAATTTATTGGCAGAATGACTGTAACATATGAAAATGATTGGCAGAATCTATAAGCATTTAATCTTATTAATCTATAGTCACACTTCATATAGGAAGTAATCTAATTTTGCCTGTAATTTTAATATGTCGTTAAATCATGTTTTTCTTCTTTGTTTTTACATTCATTAGTAATATTCTCTTTAATTCTTTAGGATACTGAGGATTTGAAATTAAAGAAATCATTCACCAGACATCATGGAGCCTATATATCCTCTTGCATGGCCCCAGATGAATACCAGGTATAGAAGTATTTTTACAAATATTTGTCTTACAGCTGTTCACATAACTTGGGAAGGTAGGTTGGAAGAGAAAAAAGAACATAATCTTCAGAATCAGGAAATTCTGGGTTCATATCCCAGCTCTACCACTTGTTAGGTAGGTTACCTTGATCAAGTTAATTAACTAAGCCTCAGTTCCTCATCTGTAAAATGAGGATGGTAATCTCTGTCTCACAGAAGATTATTGTGAATGGTTAAATAAGATTACTAAACTAAAGGGTCTAGTACGTAATAGGCACTCAGTAAATACTAGTTCCATCCCCTCCTTCAGTTATTTTCATAACACAGATCTTTATTGACGGGAAATAGTACCTGAACTTAAGAGGCTAAAAATTACCTCGGTGTTTGTTTACTTTCTAGACAAGTGGGAAAGTGGTCGGGTTCCTTCCCTCTTACAAATACTAATTCCTTGATGCGAATAATTTCACATTAGGTATACCAAATTTCCTCAGATGTTCCTAAGCCTTTGTCATGTGAAGTAGGAGCTTGCCACCTGTCTTCCAATTTTCTCTGTCCCTAGTTACTATGGGGACTGGGCAAATCAACTTGTATTGTTTGGCTCTTTGGATCATTTATTGCTCTTTTTTCCCCTAGGGAACAACAATTAATGCTGACGTGCATTTTTTTTTCTTCCAAACTAGAATTACATTCATGGGTCCCCTTTATTCTCTATAATGTCTTTCTTTGTGCCATATGTTCTTGATGAACATAATGGGAAACATGACCCAAGGAGGCTATCATATATTCCTTTTGCTTTAATTTTGGCTCTTGTGTTCTACCCCCCTGTCATCTCTTATTTCAAACTTTGTTGGCGCGGTGGCTCAAGCCTGTAATCCCAGCACTTTGGGAGGCCGAGATGGGCGGATTATGAGGTCAGGAGATCGAGACCATCCTAGCTAACACGGTGAAACCCCGTCTCTACTAAAAACAAATACAAAAAATTAGCCGGGCGTAGTGGCGAGCACCTGTAGTCCCAGCTACTTGGGAGGCTGAGGCAGGAGAATGGTGTGAACCCGGGAGGCGAAGCTTGCAGTAAGCCGAGATGGCGCCACTGCACTCCAGTCTGGGCAACAGAGCCAGACTCCGTCTCAAAAAAAAAAAAAAAAGAAATTTGTCAGTGGGCCAGGTGGTTCATGCCTGTAATCCCAGCACTTTGGGAGGCTGAGGTGGGCAGATTGCTTGAGCTCAGGAGTTCAAAATCAGCCTGGGCAACATGGGAAACCCCGTGTAGACAGAAAAATTTTCTTAACTTCTGTTCTTAGAAGGGTACAGTTGTGTAACAAGTTCAGTATATTTTGTTTCTAATTTTAAAAATTTAAATTTTTGTGGGTACGTGGTATATATATTTATGGGGTATATGACATTTTTATAAGGCATGCAATGTGTAATAATCATATATGGGAAATAGGGTATCCATCCCCTTAAGCATTTATCTTTTGTGTTACAGACAATCCAACTGTACGCTTAGTTACTATTTTTTTATTTTTTATTTTTTGGAGACAGAGTCTCACTTTGTCGCCCATGCTGGTTTCGCCCTGTTGGCCAGGCTGGTCTCGAACTCCTGGCCTCAAGTGATCCTCCTCCCTTGGCCTCCCAAAATGCTGACATTATAGGTGTGAGCAACCGGGCCTGGCCCCATTAGTGGTCTTTTTCTTATTGTGGTTTTCCTGTATTATTCATTCATGTAAAATGAAAAGTTTTTTATGGTAGCCTATATGATTTAATATTGAAACCTTGCTTTACACTGCCCCTGCCATCTTTGTTGAGGAATTATTTATAATTATATCCTTTTGATGCTTCAGTAATTAAACTTGTGCAGTATTTTGTTATACCAAAATACCAACTTTGGAAACATTGGAAAATAATTAAGAATCTATTAAGGTTTTTTGCTTTTCATAACTATTGGGTATTGTCTAGCAATTATCTGAAATTAGTTCAGAAAGACAGATTTTAGTCCAGGAGCCATGGCTCATGCCTATAATCCCAGTGTTTTGGGAGGCCAAGGTAGGAAGATTGCTTGAAACCATGAGTTCAAGACCAGTCTGGGGAACATAGTGGGACCCTGTGTCTACAAAAAATACGAAAGTGAACCTCACGTGGTGGTGCACATTTGTGGTCCTAGCTGCTCTAGAGGCTCCCTTGAGCCCAGGAGTTTAAGGCTGCAGTGAGCTACGATTGTGCCCCTGCACTCCAACTTGGGCAGCAGAGCAAGGCCCTGCTCTTTAAAAAAAAAAAAAGAAAAGAAAAGAAAGATTTTAGTTTAAATTTAAATGTAAATTTATGATTTTTACTCGTTTTTCTGTTACTTAAAAGGGACTTTATAGGATTGTCTTGTTCTTTTTTAAAAGCTTGTGTATATATAAATTTACATATGCATAGATAAAAAGGACAAATAAGCCAAATTTTGAGTGTCTATTCTCCTGGTAGTAGAGTTACAAGTGAGTTTTCTTTTTTTTTTTTTTTTTTT